GAGAGTAGGTAAGAAATTGTGATTTCGTTCTTTGAGACCTACCTTGATGAATTTTTGTTGCGGACATAAATATATCTCCCGATAAACATAATTAGCGGTGGAATAAAAGCACTGGCTAATAATACATGTGATTATTGAAAGATGTGAGTAGTAAAGAGGTGGCCCTGTGCTTAACTAATTAAACGCCACGCCTTGAAGACGTATGGGGAGTGGATGTATGGATCCACTCGTGCTTGACCTCGGCACTAGTTGGAGGTTAGCGGTCAGCTTCAGGCCTCGGCCCCCCCCCCCTGGGAGGAAACAACCTTCAACGCCTATTGAATAGGAGTTTGGGTGGAACCCGGAACCGGTCTGGACGACGTAGAGAGAACAGTCTTTATCCTACCGGGAGTCGAACTCCGACTGTAATCGCGGGCTTGCTGAACTTATCAGAGCGCCACTGATTATGAACATGGTTTCAGTTTGTTACTCACCCCGGATACTTAGTGGGGGGTGGAGTCCAGCTGGGTCCACTCGACACGGTGGCCACTGATTGGCCTATTGTAGCCTGCCCCGGGTGATTATGATGATGGAGAATTTGGTGGAATGAAGATTGGCAGGGGAAACTGAAGTACTTGGAGAAAACTCGCCCCAGCACCACTTTGTCCACCAAAAATCGCACTTGACCAGACTTGGGATCGAACCCGGGCCGCCACGGTGGGAAGCCAGCGACTGTCCGCTTGCGCTGTGGAGCGGCCTCCCCCCAGATACTTAAATTTTGACACATTTCAGAAGCCTCTGGTGTCTATTAAGATGTGCTTTTAATTGGACTGATTATTGAGAAAAAGTCCTCTGCTTAGTTTGTTCGTCCTTTAATGCCGTTTTTTTTTCAGTTGCCTAAATTGTTTGGCATCGACGGGACAGGATCTGAGAGGGAAGAAGCTTTCGTGTCCCGTTTTAATTACTAATCCGGCATTCATCCGGAGGGGAATCACGAAGGATATCAGGCTATTTCGAGTCCTGTGCCCCCTGAATGTGTGCACGCAGAGAAATGTGGGAGTCATGAATCAGGTCCTTTCATTTTGAACATTTCGGAGAAATATTCTGGTTAAAACAGTTTTATTTTAGTGAGGTTAAATAATTGTTTCCAGGTGTCGCCCTTGTATGGACTGTGACCCATCACTGTTCTACGGAGTCTATTTCTTGCTTCAAGGTTTTCGCTCATTTTTAGACCAATGTGCGATGGTCTGAGTTATGTGGAGTAGGGAAGATGACGCGTTGGTCAGAATCTGTCAGATTAGTTACAGATGGCAGTGGGTTTAGTCTCGGTGCACTCATGTTGACACATACGTACAGTAGGAATCCTCAGCTTTGCAACTTCAGAGGGCTTCTAACAAGAGTGGAAAGGCGTATTCCATTTGGAAGAATCAGTATTTTCAGTGTACGTTCTTTGCGGTTGTTCTTCATTTTATTAGTCTCTATCTTCATTTGTTGACCGCCTCCGTGGTCTACTGGTCACAGTTCCTGGCTACAGATCCGGATTCGATTCCCGACGCTACCAGATTTTCGGAGAAGTAGTGGGTCTGGAACGGGTCCCACTCAGCCTAGTTAGGATAACTGAGGAGCTACTTGAATGGAAAAATAGCGGCTCCGGTCTAGAAAACCGAGATTAACGGCCTTGAAGATCCGTTGCGCTGACCACGCGACACCCTGTATCCGCAAAAGTTGGCACTGGCTTCGCCGACAAGCGGCGGTCGCTCGGTCAGTACAGTTCTCTTGTGGACTACAGGCCACGGAGTTTGTTTTTTGTTTGTTTTGTTTGATGTTCATCTGTTGCATATCCGAATATTGCTATATGCTGCAGAGACCCCAGTGCTTACAATTTGGATTTATTTTTCTTTGTATTTCGTTGGGTGTTGGTATCGTTAAGAGTTTCATTGAAGAGGTGTAACTCTCATCAGCATAGAAGGACCGATCTGAATCTCTCCGACAGTGTTTATTGTAGAGCTCGAAATTTTGTCGAAATTCGTCGAGTAGTTTCGGAGAGGTAACAGCATGCCTTCAGACAGATGCAGCCTCCCCATAATGTTTTCATTTTACACATTCAGGCCTGACTCTGTATTAACTTGAGCAGTTTCTTAATTAATTGATTTCAGAGTAGATCTGTCTTCACCGTAGATGAATATGAAGGCCAGTTAATTATGCTGAATAGCGAAGAACTAATTTAAAAATGACCAGAGTCTTGAATAATTTTGGAATTCTGTTGTCGATAGACCGAGCCCTCCGTCAAAACATTATACCCCTTTTGGTTATGTGTTGCTATCTGGGGTGGTATGTTTGTAGAGTTTGATGTGCAGGTATGAATCGTATAGAATTTAAACCGCTTACGGGTGCTGTCATATTTGTTGCATGAAACTTATAGTCACTGAGAAATCTCGCCCTGTAATTAGTTTAAATGCCAATCACAGTGGCCGCGCAGTCTAAGGCATGAAATGTCTTAGCCCGCTAAAACGCTGGGAATTTTTTTTTTCTGTGGCGCTACAGCCCCAATTTGGGCCTAGGCCTACCTCCATGAAACTCTTCGTTTCACTTCGGTTTACTAGATCTTACACGTTCGGTAGGACTCCTTGGGCCAGTAATCAACTCGTCGCAAGGCCTCTACCTGTAGACAAACACAGAAAAACGCACACAAACATCCATGCCCTGTGTGGGATTCGAACCCACGATCCCGGCTTCCGAGCGAGCGAAGAGAGTGCATGCCTTAGACCGCTCGGCTACCGTGACCGGCAAAACGCTGGAATAGTGGGTTCGAATCCTATTGAAGGCATGGATGTTTGTGGTCATTTATTCTGGGTTCTAGTTTTCCTGTGTAGGTAGCGGCCTTGAGTCGTGATGATCCCCATCAAGGGAGTCCTGTCGACTCTTTAAGATTAAGCAACTGAAGTGAACGAAGCGTTTCGCTGATGCCCTATGTTCAAAGTGAGAGCAAACTAAATAGGTAGGTGGATAGATGGGTGGATAGGTAGGTAGGTAGATAGATAGACAGATAGATATGTCGGTAGGTAGGTAGATAGATAGATAGATATGTAGGTAGGTAGATAGAAAGATAGATATGTAGGTAGGTAGGTAGATAGACAGATAGATATGTAGGTAGGTAGGTAGGTAGATAGACAGATAGATATGTAGGTAGGCAGGTAGATAGATAGAAATAGTTTAATTGGCGTCCGCTTGTATTTGGAATCGCCTCCGAAATTAGACAAGAAATGTTGTTACTCTGAACAATGAGATTTTTGCGTTGGGTAGGCGTACCGAAGAGAGGGAAGCAGTTTGAGAATGCGTACTCACAGAAGCTCCGGAGGCCCACCTGCTCAACTCCTAAAAGCCATGATGACTTATGTTTGCCTGCGTAGGGAAACCTGCACAGGTGTTAAAAAAAGTCGCGAACTTCTTTTGTATGCATGTAGTACTATTGACTCACCTTTGGAGCCCTTCTGTATTGGAATTTGAAGCTCGTTATAATTTAACTGTTAAACCTGTGAACAGTTTATATAACAACTGAGGCTTGATGTTAAATTTTCAGCATATTTTACGATAAGAAACCATTAAAATCAACTAATCCAGACCATAACAATTTAACGTGAACTCCGCTTGCTCCTGACGAGATATCCTGCACGAACGCGTGTTATAGAGCTCGCAGCTTTTATGGCTGTTGATGTATGGTATGGGTCGTGAGCAGGTGCATGGACTCAAGTTTGTCAGCATCGAGACACCATTCAGTTCAGGACAGTCCAAATTGGATTTGTAGAGTGCAAGGTCACTGTGGGACAAACTCCCGCCCTCCCAGTCACCATTCAAGCAATGCTTCCTACTGATCATTACCGCCTTGAGACCTAGGTGATGTCACATTGTCGCTGTTCGGTTGGCTCCTCTGTTGCTTGTAGTGTAGGGTTTCATGAACAAGAACTGTAAGTAAACGTTTCAGACGTCTCACCTTATTGCAGTGGGATGTTCTACTTAAAGGTCCGTCTTTGAAAGTTAATAGTTGCACACCTATTTCTGGAAGGTTTGTTTTAGAAAACCCCTCCCTGCTACCCCTAAGTCTTTCAAGTGATATTTTCCGTTCCGATTGCTCAAATAAAGTTTCACATAAGTAGATTCTGAAGGGTTGTATAACACTCGGAATTACTGGGATTCTGGACGCTGCCCGCCGTACGGTATTCTGAAAAACACTAAATAACATAACGTTCCGGCTATTGGGTCTGTTTCTGAAACGTTGTGTTCTTTCTTGTTATGTAGGATACCGGAGGAAGGACAAAGGCCCAAAACTCGGTAATTCGAAAATTTCATACGCATTTCTGGCCCCTCACATACGTGCTGCAATTCTAGCAGTCCTTCTTGAGAAGCTAATAGTATGAAGAAAGCAGTCCTCTGGGATTTGGCACCGTGTATATGTGGTGTTAACCGACGTTTCGGAGGAACGTATCGCCTCCATCTTCAGGGTAGAAGAAAAAATATAAGAAATCTGCAAGCGAAGAGACCGTGAGAACCGGTAATTACGGTCTCTTCGCTTGCAGATTTCTTATATTTTTTCTTCTACCCTGAAGATGGAGGCGATACGTTCCTCTGAAACGTCGGTTAACACCACATATACACGGTGCCAAATCCCAGAAGACTGCTTTCTTCATAGTCGCCGCCGTGAAAGCCTCAAATCTTACAAGCTAATAGTAGCTTAGATTCATTCCTCGCCTTTTATGGAACAATCTTCATTACCACGTTCACAAGAGCCTGCCACTGGACTTCGTGAACCCGAGTAATCCATTTCGCACCCTCATATCCTGCTTGACTGGATCACACTTTTCCACACGGGCAGCCCTCGTCATCATCAACAGAGATGAACCTCCTGGCCATTTGGTTTCCATGATGTGGCATTTCCGGCATTGCTTGTTGTTAGACGTCTGTAGTCACTTTGTACATTGATAGAGCTGTTTCAGGAGGTGAAGTTAATTGTGTTGTGGTTGCAGAACCTGGAGGACCGGGAACGGAAACACGCGGTGCACAAAGAGCACCTGCACCGGGAACACCGCTACCTGAGGCGGCGGCTTGAACAGTTGAACGCGCACAATGCGCTTTCGAAGCGACGCTCCGTTTCCGAATGCAGCACCTCCACTGTCTCCAGTACAAATTCCTCCTCTTCGGGATCGCCTTCGTCCGTCTCCGAGTCAGGTAAGGCTTGTGTACTGCTGTGTGACTGCTGTTTGCGCCAGAGTGTCGCTGGTTGTCGCCACACTGGCAGTGAGCAGTATACACTGCAAGTAATCTTTGATACAGAACCGATAGAATGTGTTTTGAGATTTGAGGTTCCCCGGCAATGAGTATGAATATTACTGTCCTCTCGGATGTAACGCCGTGTAGTCTGGTAGATGCTTATCAAGAATTTCGAGGAATTTTCTGCCTTTATCATCAGGGTAAAAGAGTGGCATATTTTTAATATAGGCATATTGGCAAAGAGTTACCTGAAGATGGAAGTAGAGCCATCTTCCTAAAAGTCTTTTATATGAGATGTACCTCAGAAATGGACGATTTCCACCTTAATATTTGTAAAATGAACAAGCCGTTGTCACAATCTTGAAGAGAATCATGCGGCTCCATATAGAAGTACAGGTAGACCCATGGTTGCCGCTCTGTCTTTGCTTTATTGAGTTCTGTAAACGCTATCCGAATCGCTTCTTGTCTCGATACGTCAGTATTTATACACTTGATGTTCGATTATGGACGCGCCAATGATTACCGTATTTACGCATGTATAGGCCGCGTGCGTGTATAGGCCGCAGCACAATTTTCAGACAAATTATAGAAAAAATAATTTTCTTGGAATATTATTTCAGGAGTAGAACACCCTGTATTACTAATTATGAATATATTTTTTTTTAAATGAAGTGTGATTTCGAATATTTCGAATATAAGCCGCACCCCAGTTTTCCTCTTGAATTTTTGGCAAAAAATGTGCGGCGTATACATGCGTAAATACGGTATTCTGGTACAGATCATATCAGAAAAATAACCTGAAAGATAATTCCATTTAGCAAGACTCTTTTGTTTGAAATTCATGGCTATATCATTTCTTTCTTATCTTCATACATACTCTGTTTATTCCTTTTTTTGTTCCTTCATGTAATATCTTTCTTTCATCTTTACCGTTCAGGTGACACGCTTTTTAACATAGTCACCACGTGCGTGTATACGGCATGAGAAGGACGTGACGTACGCATAGTACATAGTCATAAACCATTTCCCATTGTATATACAGCGTATACACACAATCGGATCTATACATCCACTCCCCCATACGCCTTCATAGTGTAGTGCTTAGTTAAGCACAGGGACAACTTTACCATACACAGAATCAAATTTACCTTAGACTGGCCGGCTAGAAATTCGGACATCCTTGTACACTGCTAGCCGCTGATAGTTATAAACCATTTCCAATTTTATATATATATAATATATACACAGAATCAAGTTTATCTTTAGACCGGACGGCGAGGAATTTGTTCATGCCCCCTTGTCCGCTGCTGACCGCCGAATTGTCGAGTAGTCACCCGGTGAAATATAGTGTTAAACAGAAATTATTCAGATATGAGACCTCAGCACAGTATTTCTCATGGAGGAAATGTGGGAAGTTTGTAGGAAGTATCATGACAGTACAGTGCCACGCAACGATTCACAGTACGGTAACAAAGTTACGTTCTACGGGATCGGTGCTGTACAAAACGAAAATTCGAAAAAGACTGAATAAAAAAATTTGTATGACGTTGGTACTCAACTAGAAGCATGCTCGAAGAAGTCGCCACGTCTTCTTGCTCCTTTATATAAGTAATTTATTATTATTATTTTATGATATATATTATTTTATATTATTTAAATTTATTATTATAAGTAATTAATTTATTATAAACTAATTAAGTAATTAATTAAGTGATTAAGTAGTTTAATGTAGGTTGGCAGAAGGAAGCTCGCATTCATGCAGATTTTCTGAAGTGATGTCATACAGTCGAACATAATGTGTTCCCTACAGATTGCCATACAGGAATGCTGCCCTGTAGGTGGTTGCAGCAGTCGGTATTTGATGGACTACTTGGCCTACAACCTAGGTTTTACTGTGACGATGCATGGTTCAATTTAAGTGGTTATGTAAACCGTCAAAATAACAGATATTATAGCATAGAAAATCGTGATACTCTGCATGAGGTCCCGTTCCAGATTTGAAATTTGGTGTGAGATTAGTGCGCCGAGGATATTTGGGCTCGTATTATTTCACGAAATAATAAATTTAGAGTGTTATGTGACGTGGATTCTTTCACCTTTCTTCGGTCATCTGACTAGAGAAAAAATGCAATGGACTACTGTGCAAGTTAATGCAAGAACACATATTGCGAACAATCCTATGGATGCATTAGATAAAGTCTTCAGCGAACGAATCATAAGTCCAAGACTGTAGCCTCTGCGATCATTCGGCTCAGTTGCCTGTGACCTCTGTGTTCGCTCAGAAGGCAGCAGTGTATGCGAACAGTCCGAATTCTTTGGAATGTCTTCAAGAAAACGGGCCTGAAATTTTAGCCATTCACGTATAACAGCTTCGACGTGTCTAGAAACACGTTATCACGAGGTGAGGCTTGCTTACGGATAGACGTTCGGAACTCCGACACTCTTGTATAAAGGAAGTTACACTACAGAGTCCGCTACATAGCTCGGGCGATTAGTCGCCGGCTTCCCACCTCGGCGGCCTGGGTTCGATCCCAGNGGAAGTTACACTACAGAGTCCGCTACATAGCTCGGGCGATTAGTCGGCGGCCTGGGTTCGATCCCATGTCAGGTAATGTATTTATGGTGGACAGTGCAACTGGGGCACGTTTTCTCCGAGGACTTCGGTTTCCCTTGTCAATTATTATTGCACCGCCTGCTTCACGCTTATTATCATCTATCATCCGGGACTATTACAGTAGGCCAAATGGTGGCAGGCGTACCGAGTGGACTCGCTCTCAACCCACCCAAAGCGGATAAGTTCGCTTTGAATCTCCGGCTGCCGCGAAGGGTCTGCGCGAGAAGACTACCGTGTCAGCTGCGGGAACCAGTCGAACGATAATCTGTACACCCTGTATGTGCGCCCGCTCGCACGGGTTCACTTCTCTCCCCTTTTCCAGAAACATACCTGTAGATACTCTCACGCTCGATGGTAACCTCATGGCCGAAACATACAATGCACCGGGAGTTGTGCGGCTTAGACAGTCCTGCCGGTATGCATACTCTTCTGAAAAAAGAAGCCATACGGTTGTGTGTGGACATACTGTTTATTTGACGATGCTGCCTGTAGGTCGGATTTTATAGTTCGGATAATAGAATGACTAGTGAACAGAGATTTAGAAAAATATGTGGAAGGAAGCTGTCGTGGCCTAATTTGAAATTTTATCACGTTTGCTATGAGGCACCCACAGAGAACTCTTATCTGTATATGGCACTAAGTCCTTTTGTTGGACCTTTGCCGTCTTTTCAGTTTCTGAAACCTCTATACAGTCGGTAGGACTCCTTGGATGGGGGATCAGCCCATCGCAAGGCCGTCACATAGACCAACACAAACATCCATGCCTTGAGTGGGATTCGAACCCACGATCCCAGCGTTCGAGCGAGCGAAGGCAGACCGCGCGGCCAATGTGATGAGCCCACTCAGGACTGTGTATATCCCATCCAAGATTCTAACCGGGAACCCTCAGAATAGAAATCAGAGCCATTACCTCATGAGCCAACCTGTGTGGTTATAGGTGTCTGTAAGTATATTGTATTGGATTGTGAGTATGGATTGTAATTGAAGTTGCGAATACTAACGAGTTTTTGCTGACTGATTAACAGGCTCCAAGATGGAGCAGAGTACCTCGCTCACCTATTCAGGACCTACAGTTCATTGCCGCGTTCATAAGGACTGATCACTGGACTGTGCCCGGAAGTCATGAGTTTTAGTGTAAATTCTGTAGGGAACAGGAAGTCACGTATATCCTTGTTAAGTATAGGACAGATTCTTGTAGAGTCGCCTGGAGGACGTCCTATGACGTAACCGACACATGTTTGTCCAGTGAAGTGGTGAAGGGTATCTACAAATTTGCGTCTTCGCAACTCTTTACAGTGTATAAGGCTGGCTTCACACTGGCGCGTGGCGCTGATGCGTAGTATTGTACTTGGTCTCAATGAATTGGCGTAGTGCGGCTCCGCTCCAGTGTGAGACCGCCTTGAGGTTGAAGATTCTATTTGGGAGTTGGCACGTTTAAATTTCCGTGACATTGCTTGTTATGCAATCCTGACACTGGCTGCTTGCCAGATAGTTCTGAAGGCCACGTAGGGCGTGTTTTTGCACGGGCTCTTCATTTGGGGCCTCATTTTTCTCATCGTGGGCCCACCTAGGTTCAAATATATACGACAGTGACAGTAATTGTCATTAACGTGATCGCAGAATCGGCAAGTAGCCTTTTGAGTGTTGATAAACCGCTCGGCTGCATCTAGAATACAACGTAGCTACGCAGTTAACAGTTTTCATTTTCAGTGGCCTCTGCGCGTTAGTCTTCCGTTTGGTTCCGTCCAGAATTACAGATCGTATTGTTGTATACAAACGCCAGTCTGCGTGTGCTTGATCTTAGAGTCGACTGATTCTGGTTGCAACAGTGCTTGATTATGTGTAGTATATCCCTACTTTGAGGTAATGGTGGGTCTTGCATGGTCATATGATCCTGAGAGCTATGCTGGCGGTAGCCTAGCTATTGATAGGGTCTACCATGCCGGACAGGTCAAAGGTGATAATCCAGATGAAAAGGGATACATTGGTCATTTAGATTGGGTGTTGGGCGTGGAGTTCACAATCGAACCCCGAAAATAGCCTTAATTGTTGAGAAACTTTTGACGATTGCAGCCGGACCGAAACAGCTAAAACGATATAGCAAATTCAAGGACTTGGGAGTGGGAACTTGAAATGTGCTGTCCCTATATAGAAGTGGGACTCTTCCAGAAGGTACTGGGGGAGTAGGCAGGCCTGTTACATGACTGGATTCAGCTGAAGAAGATTTGAAAACAGTTAGCTTTATAAATTTCAGACGAAAGTCGTAGGATCGGGACCAGTGGAGAGCATTTGTAAAAGAGGCCAAAGTTCATCATGGGCTGTAGCGCCCGAAGAAGAAGAAGAA